GAACGTGTAAGAGCGTGTGAGTATGCGTGCGTGAGAGTGACAGGGTGCGTGAGAGAACATGAGCGTGTGTGTGCGTGCGACAGAAGAGGGAGAGTGCAGAGGGAAGGGACGAGCGCGAGGGCGAATGCGAGCGGCGAGTGTGGGGCGCACCACTTGCGTCGGAGCACTTCGCGTTTGCTCTCTCCTCCCCCCGAGGGCCCTTAGGCGCGGGCTTTCCACACCACTCTCCAGCGCCCACCTTAAAAGCTGACGACACTTGCAGGGGGCGCCCCTTGGCTCCATTTCCGGCAGGCGCCGCGTTGACTTCCGGCGGCGGCCGGCCGGGCAGGGTCACCTCTCCTTCGGACCCCGCCCCCCCGAAAAGTGAGGTCAGTGCCATGCAGCTGCCGCTCGAACTCACTGGAGAGCCTTGTTCTCCCGAAGAAAGATGGCATTGTTGGCGGTTTTGTTTGTTGCCCCCAAATTCAGCAGGCTCTGGCTCAGCTGCCCAATTCCGTTTTCGTGTCGTGGGACGCCGTCCGCCTCTGAGGATGCCCCCGGCCCTTCCCCCTCTGCGCCCCGCTCTCAGGGCAGGGCGAGGCCAGGCCGGACGCGCGCGGAGCCCCGGCGCTGGGGTGAGCCCGGCACGGAAGGCGGACACGCGGACGGCCCGGGCCTCGAAGCCCGCGTCCGGCAGGGGCTGGAGAGAAAGATGGCGGACAGCCGCCAGGAGACGCGCGCGGCCTCGGGGGTGAACGGCCGGAAGAGCAAAGGGGAACGAGAGAAGCGGGGGAGGGCGGACGGAGGAAAACGCAGGAGGGCGCCGAACAAGGGTTTCGAAATCTGGAATAAAGCGCACGCTCTTCTGGAGTGATCACGCTTCTTTGCAGAGTGCTTTTCCCCGATGAGTGCCTCTGCGGTGGCCGTGGGCGCGCCCCCATCCACGCCGCGGATCACCTAGACTCAAAAGCACCCAAGTGTGAAAATAGGAGGTATTTAAATGATGCAAACTCCACTCTGAAAACAAAAATGAAGAGAAATCGAAAGGCATTTCTAGAGAGCACGGAGAAGGCGGCGGCCGGCGCTCTCGGCGAGAACGCGGCACTTCCGGTCGGGCCCGCTTCCTCCCCTCCGTGCCTCCGCACGGCAGCTTCCGGTCGCCGGCAGCTTCCGGTCGCCGAGGGAAGTGAACCGAAATGCTCAGGGACGGAAGTGGTGAAGGCGAAGGAAATCGGCTGGTTCTTTTAAAGATTTTATTATTTCTTTACAGGGAGAGACACAGCGAGAGCGGGAACACAGGCAGGGGGAGCGGGAGAGGGGCTTCCGCCGAGCAGGGAGCCCGACGCGGGGCTCGGTCCCAGGACCCCGGGACCACGACCTGAGCCGAAGGCGGACGCTCAACGACGGAGCCACCCAGGCGCCCCACAGAAACTTAAGAAAACCACACCCTACAGCAAAACCTAGTGTGCTCTAAATCCGTTCTCTTTTTTTCCATCAAATATTTAGCCCCTTTTCGGTGAGTTCAAGGGACCCTTTTAGACTAGAATGGGAATAACAGGAAACAACCAGTCTTAAAAATGGGCAAAGACGAGAACAGAGAGTGCGCCAGAGACGGCATGGGGATAAAGATGGTGCTCACGGTATCCATCATTAGAGGGGAGAAAACCAAAACCGCAGTGAGCTCCCCCACGGACCTGGAGGAAGAGCGCGAATTCAGCACGTGACCACGGCGAGCGTGGGCAGGGCGGGGAGCAGCTAGAGCCCCGTCCGGTGACAGTGAGATGTCAAACAGCGTGAGCGCTTGGGAGGCCAGTTTCACCGTTTCTCCAACAGGAAATCATGCGTTTACCAACGACCCCATTTCCGTGCCTAGGGGTTTACCCACGACGAGCGATACGTGCACACACAGTCTTGTGTAGGCGTGCATACGGCAGCCTCGTTTGCGAGAGCCCAAAGCTGGAAACAGCCCCGACGTCCACGGCGTGTAGTGGAGCCATCCGATGGGACGCAGCCCGGCAGCAGAGGAGTAGGTTCTGCATACGCGCTGCACCTGCCATAAGGCTGATTCTCGCAGAGGAAAAGAAGACAGACCCAAAGGCATGCGTAGTGGAGAGTCGCCTGCATAGACTTCTAGAAGACACAGCCTGACAGATCAGTGGTTGCTTCTGGCTGAGGAGGAAAGGGAAGAGGCAGAAAAGGCCGGGGGTGGGGGGCCGGAATATACAAAGGGACCAGGACATTTGGGGGCGGACGGGCTCGTCCACTATTTTGGTTATGGTGATGGCTTCACAGGTGGATACACAGGCCAAACTTACAACGTACATGGGTTTATGTCTGTGCGGCTCATTGCATGTCAAGGACACCTCAGAAAGCTGCGAAGCAGACGGAATCCTCATTTGCCTCTGCAGGGCCCCGGCCACTGTCAACCACCTTATTCTCTCTAAAGATGGCATTTGTCCCCATCGCCTTGCCACCGCTGTGACCTGATTTCCACCGAAACCGCTCCTGTGAGGGCCACTGATCACCTGCCGAACATGAGCCTACGAGCCCGTGAGCCCGCTGGCCCGTCCCTCGGCCCCCAGCCAATGGCCACTCTCCTCCCTGTCTCACTGCCTCCGTCTTGCAAGCTCTCTGTGGCCCTTTGGTTCTTGTCCTATGCCTTACTCGGGGGTCTCAGCCTCTCCTTCCGCAGCTGCCCCAGGTTGCCGATGGCTCCATGTCCCTATCTGCACCCTGACCCCTGTCCCAACTCCACATCCTTTCCAACAAGAGGCCCGGCAGCCCACGAAATCACAGGGCCGCAAACCTGCCCCGTCTCCTCTCCGGAGATTCACCTCCCTACGTCCTGTATCTTGAGCCGTGTTGCGCCAACCTCCAGATCTGAGAGCCGGATCTGATACGTCTTCTCTGGAGTGACAACCAGTCACAGGCCTGTGAGGCCTGACCCCACCTCTGTCACTGCTCCATGTGCCCAGCTGCCTGCATCCTGGCCCTCGGCCTGTCCACCCCGGCTTCGCCCCAGCCTCCCACTTGCTGTACCTCCACCGGACCGGCCGTGCCTCTGAAAAGGCAGATCTAGTCACTCTCCATCCCTTACAAATCCTCCCGAGGCAGCCAGGGCTCACCGTGTATGAGAAGCGTCTGGGCGGATGGTTCAGAAGACCTGTCCAACCCCATATGCCAGAGCGCCAGCCTCAGCCACTCTGAAGTGGCCTCGGGAATGGATAGCCTAACAAAAGCCTGGGTGCAGATGGTTTGATTCGGGGATGCCCGCTACTTGGGGCGTGCTACGGGCTGAAGCCGGGGATGCCCTCCACACCCTGCACCGCCCATGACAACCCCTCCCCCGCCCCACCGCGGAGCCTCTCCAGCCCGGGGTGTCAGTGTCGTGGAGGATGAGGCTCCGTCTCCCTCCAGCACACACGAAGCCCGGTGTGCCCGGCCCTCCTAACCTCCCAGTGTGATGCCCCCAGAAAGGAGACATCCAGCAGGTCCCAGTAGCCTGCCCTTCTGCTCTGGATCCACCTGCTGCCTCCCCTCGAAACACTGGGTCCCCAGCTGCTTGCAGCTGGTGCAGGACCTATGCGTTGCACTCGGAAGCTTCTGCCTGGATATGATTTCGGGGTGAGGGGGGCGACTCGGAGCACATGGTGGCCTCGACGGAGTCGGGCAGTGAGCAGACCCCTGGGGCCTTGGTACTGGTGGCTTTAGGTGACACCCCATTGTGACTTTGGCCACACCTGGTCCCTTGCTCCGCTCCCCTTCCCACACCACGCTCTCTAGACTCCTCGCGCGCGGCATTGCAGGCGACTCAACATCCCTCCCCTTTCTTTTTTTTTTTTTTTTTTTGCTTAAGTTTTTCAAGAGTCTAACTGGCTCCATCCTTACTATGTGTCTAACACTAGAGAGAACTCAAAAAATATTTGTTGGAACAAATATGGTGAGTAAGAGGGAAAGGAAAGAAGACGTATGGTAACATAAAACCATGGTAACAGCGAGGTGGCATTCACCTTTCCGGAGGACGCCACAGTGTCATGCACGGGCAGGACATTTGTGGGCAGAAAATACACAGTCTGCCTCTGGGCACCACATGGCCTTCGTGGAGTTACCGAATATTTTCCAAAGCAGTCCGATAACAGGGAGATGATGTCATCGGTGGTGAGTGGCGTAGCGCTCATGACCCGGCTCTGGGACCAAAGCCCCCAAGCCCACACTTGTTACACACATGAACACCCCCTCTAGTAAGCCAGAGAGCAAACCGAGCGCTATGTAAAACTAATTGTTGTAATCAAAAACAACAAAGAAGAAAGATAAATCAGGTTTAATGATAGAAATAAAGCAAAGCCTGGACAGAAGTTTCAGTGCAAATATGTGCTGTGCAAACAGCTCATTTGGGTCAGTTCTCCCATCCAACTTGTCAGGATGTGAGCCGAGTCTCCTAATCATGAAAAAGCATACGTGGAAGATTCTAAACATTACACACAGGTGCAAACACACAGAGACACCCTCTGAGAGGCAAACCTTTCTCTAGAACCACGACACTCGGTGCGAGCACCACATGAGGACAGAACTTGGCAGTAAGGGTTTACAACTTTCACAGCAAAGCAAACAGAGTCATTTAATATCTGTTGGCTCTAATAATTGAGAAAGTTGGCTTGTATTTTGAATGTCTATTTTATCTCACTAAAAATGTGATCACAGACTGAAAGAAACATGATCCTTAACTACAGATCATTGGAGAAGCAAAGAAAATATATGAAATAATAGGCTGATCTATGGAAGCGATAGTTTGTGGAAAATCGGCCCGATCACGATTTCACTTCAAACACAACCATAGTTAGGTTGCTCTGCTTCAAATGGAGGAACGGAGATGGGGCCAAGCTCCCCGTGCTGGAATGAATGCTTTCTTCACGACCTTCTGTGGCTCCTCCATCCTGAAGGCTCTGTGGCCTGTATTGTGATGTAAGAACGAGAAGAAAATGAAAGCCTGTGGTCTGGTGAGGTGGGGCTCATCATCCCAAAGCCAGGGAGACTACTTCCGAGGAGCAGAAGCCCCAGGAACTAGTCAGGGAATATTGCCCTCCCACTGCCCTGCGCTGACCTGCCCCCTGGGATTTCCACGTGGAGCCTGGTGGGACTTTGGAGGGGCTCCCTTGGGGAGGGTGGAGTCTATTTTGCGCGTCAGAGGAAGAGAGGAGCCTGTGTGATCAGGAAGGGAGACTATGCTGCACTGCTGTATTTATTCCGAGTGTTCACTGCCCATCCTTCCCGGCCTGTCCTTCCCGGCCTGTCCCGCGGGAGAACTGCCCCCGCCCTGTGGCATCAGGCCGGGGCTGGGCCAGCGGGTGCCCAAGAACTGTCAAGAGCTGTCACGTGGTTTCTCCATGGAGCTTTCCCCTCTAACCAGAGGGAAAACCCTAAGAATGGGTCCTGGGTGAGGAGGGGCCCTGACAGGAAGCCTGGCCTGGAGCTGACATGACATAGAAGCCACTGGATGGGGTTGGGGGGGGGGGGTCGTCAGCATGGCACAAGCACACCCAGCTGACACCCTCCACCCCGGGAAGAAAGGTCTAATTCTCTTTGTTGCTGTTCGCAGATGTATTCACACTGAACCCACTAAAAACAAGAAGGCAAACATTGTGCCATATTTTGGCCTGTATTGTGATGTAAGAACGAGAAGAAAATGAAAGCCTGTGGTCTGGTGAGGTCCGAGAGGTGGGGCTCATCATTTCCAGCCAGACGGCGCTGGGGAATCGGTCTGCATGCCGGTAAAGCACAGCCTGGGAAGTCACACCACAGAAACCACGCAGTGTCAGGAGCCCACAGGGAAGGGCCCTGCACTGAGGATGAGCAGGTAAAACCAGGTAGAAGGAACTGAAGGCTGAGCCGGGCGAGAGTCAGGCGCTTCAGTCGCCAGGTAGGCCAAGGTGGGCACGAGCAGCAGGGGGGCGTCCGGAGGTGAGGGAGCTGTGCGCAGGGCACCCAGGTCTCCCTGGAACAGAGCACCTGGATGCCGCTCTGCCTCCACCCCTGCAGAGAGAAGTGGGGGGTGGGTAGGCAGATGTGGCTGGAGGGCCAGGTGGCTGGACGCGGCTCCCACCGTGTCCCGGCTCAATGTCAGAGGTACAGACACGGGTTGTCCCATGTTCAAAGAATTCACACGCACACAGAAGCCATAAGCCTAGCACATGCCGTCATGAGCATCGCTGGAAGATCCCTGGAGGCATGGAGGTAGCAGGTCCTGGCCGCAGTCGCTCAGAGACCAGATGTCAACAACGAGGAGAAGGAGGAAGAGAGCAGGGAGGGAGGGGGACCGGGATTCAGGACTGCGCCCTCAAAGCTTCGGCTCATTGAGAGGAACCCCAGAGGCCCACGACACGTGTCACGTGTCGATTTCTGGATCTGCCACCGAGGACCGTGGGCTCCGAGTCTGGAGTGAGAGACTGAGGCTCTCAGCTGGCCGGTGAATCTGGCTGCCTGGCACCAGACTCCCCACGCAGTCCTGCAGTTCTCTCCATGAGCAGGAAGGAAAAGAGGCTGTAGGGGGTTCCCTGATGGCTGGATGTCCGTGCGACTCCCCAAAGGCTCAATACAGCTGCAGTTTGATGAGAATGAGGGGGACCAGAAGGCTCCTGAAACCCTCTTACTAAGGAACAGCCTCTTCTGCAGGTAGGAGGAGCTTTGTGACAAAGGTGAGATAGTCCTAGTCTGTGTGCCAAAGGTGCCCCTGCATGGATGCATGGTTCTCGGACTGTGCCTAGGCCCCCTGGGGAGCTCGTGGGACACATTCCTAACCCCACACCAAGGATTTGCCATCAACTCTGGCTGCACATGAGGAACACCAGGGAGTGTTATTAAAAACACCTAAGTCAGAGGCCCCACTCCTGGACCGTCTGATTTACTTGGTCAGGGCAGGAACCCCCTCAGGGTTTTCAGAGCTCACACGCGAGGCTGAGGCCCACCTGTGTAGGGTGGGATGGGCACAGGCAGGCCCGGGAGCCGTCCGAAGCACGAGGGTGAGACCCTGGGAGGGAGGAAGGATGAATTTGGTAGCTAAGTGAGCAGAGGATCGCCAGGGCTTTCTCACCCACAGGAAAGCAGCGTGAAGAAGTGGTCCAGGACCAGCGCTGGGCTCCCGGTTTAGACACTGATAGGCCGGCAACACAACGTTGCTCATGACAAAGGTGGGGTGGCTTTGTGGGCAGAAGCGTGAGAGGTGTTTATGCCTTCGTAGGCCCCTGGTCCTGGCGTGCCCTCGCACAACCTCACAGCCTGGCCAAGGAACTCCCATCCTCCCCGAGAGCCTTGGAACGCATTTCTTCTCCAAGAACAGAACTAGCTGTGGGAACGGCTGTCATGGCACATGGGGCCTAGTTACCCCCCGGAACCTCACTTCCAGGGTCCAAAGCCGGCCTCTCTCCCCCGTTCAAGGGTGAATTCCAGCAGGCCCAGGACGAGTCTGACTCCTCCTCCATCACTGGGTCCCAGCTCAGCATCTGGCGTACGGAGGCATCTGTGTTTGTCTGTCACACGGTGGGAAGACATTGCTTCCTGTTTCAAGGGTCTTGGGATGTAAGAGTGGGGGAAGCCCCAAGGACGGTTCGAAGCTAGGTTTAAACCGTGTGGTAGTGCACAGAAGAGGAACTGATAGACATGCTTCCTGGTAACCCCCCAGCAGGTGCTCAGAGGGGGCAGATGGGCGGAGGAGGGGAGACTAAGCCAGGCCTGGAGGACCCGGTCGGTGGAGCAGAAGGAGAAGAGCTGCTCCGGCCGGGAATATCGTGAGCTGAGGCAGGACGGAAGGAGAGGAGGCCAAGTGCTCGCTGGGACCGGGAGGGCTGAGGGTCACTGGCAGGCGGGACGGGCCAGGGGCTCCAGGGAACAGACGGAAGGTCAGCTCGGGCATGGCCTGGGGTAGCAAAAGGGCCCCTGTGCTGTTGGAGCTCGTCAAGCGAGGCCCCAGGAGCTTCCTTCCCCTGGCACGCACGGTGGCCTCCAGCTCTCCCGGCCTGTGGTCACCAGCAGCAAAGTGCTTTGCAGAACCAGCCCTGCGGGGCCAGCTATGGCCCATACACTCGGGACTGCACCACTCTGCTCCCTGGGCCTGAAAATGCCACTTGGTCTTGCCTCTGTCTCCATCAGAGAAGGGTCTTCTCCCCACGGCCTCCCCGACTGGGTCTAGAGTGGCAGGAACACAGGCTGGGGGCCAGCCGACCTCTTCCCTGCCATCCTCACCAGAGAAACTGTGCTCTCTCTTGACTCCAGGTGCAGCCTGAGGTCCCCTGCCCTTGCACAGGGCCGACCCCTGCTCGGGGCCTCTGAGGGGGCTCAGTGACTTCCCTGGCCCCATCTTGTGGTGCCTTCCAGGCCGTGGTAGCCAATTCTATCCTGACTGCAGCCTCCCTGCCCATCTCTGGTTTCTGGCTGCCCACCTCGCACACACACACACACACACACACACACACACACACACACACACACACACGGCTCCCCGAAGGCTCTGTCCCCAGCCCACAGCGGTCAGGAAATGTTCGCATCCCCTACTCCAGCTCTGCAGTACCTGCTCTTCAGTCCACCTGGGGCCCAAGAGCCACTGAGCCTCACCCTTGGGTTTTCAGGCAGGAGCCAGCCTGGGCAGGGCACCTACCCAGAGGAGCTCGGGAGGCCCCCTCCCCAAACTTATGATCAGACCCAGCTCCATCGTGGAGCTCCAACAACAGGACACCAACAACCATCCCCAAACGAACCTCCCAGTCACCACCTCACTGAGCCTGAGAACTTCGTCTTGGGTGGGAGATCAAGAACCATGAAATGGTGTTCAGCCATCTTCTTGGAAAGTTCCCTTTCCAGAATAGGGTACCCACGGTCTCTGGGGGCCTTGGTTGGAACTTTATAACTCCCGGTTCACAGGTCAAGCTGCAGGCTCCCTGGGCGCTCCGCGCTATGTGACCGGCGGCCCCAGAGATCCTGAGCGCCTGCACATACTCACACACAGACATTTCAGGTCAGAGGAAGGGGCCATTTGGCTTGGGGTTGGTGGTTCCAGGCCCCCATCCTCAGGAGCACCCACAATCTCCCAGAGAAGGCTGGGGGCCCAGCATCACTGCTGGGAAAAAGCGGTAAGAGGGATAGAACTGAAAGGGCCTAGGGGTCCTCTAGTCTTCCACACATGACAAAACTGACCCAGGCTCACAGTTAGGGACACTCAGGTCACCGGGACCACGTTTGACAAGGGCCAGCTCTAGAATATGCCGAAGACAGTGGACACTGCTCTAGGGTGTTCTTTTCTCCCCCAACTTTTACCCCCCCCCCGCACCCTTCATTCTCACCTAACACCTGCCAACCTCCGGACGCTTCTCGCCGGCTTGGGAGGGTTGTCGCCAAAGCCCCACGGGAGCGCTGGGTTTCTCAGTTTGAGTAGGACGTTCAGAGGTGCCGCATGATTACATTCGGGGTTTTACAAACCCACAAGTTGTAACAGCTGTAATTGTATTAAATAAACACGAACATTTTGTCATGTTCAGCGCAACAGCTTGGGAAGCAGAAACCATCAGGGGCATCACCAAGCTTTAGGTCTCTGGACCAGTACCACATCCCTGGCCACGGCCAGCCCTGAGCGGCCCAAGCGCTCACTTGACTCCTGATTCCCCTAGACTCCACTACACCTGCTTCCCAGCCCATATCTGACCTGATGAGAGACCGGTCATGAAGACAGTCCTGAATAAATGAAGAGGGAAAGCAAGGTGGGAACTCAGTTCCTCTGTTGCCAGGAAGCCGCCATCTGACCTGTTGGTGAGAGCGGCCTGGTGCACAGCAACTCAGGAGAGAAGGCCACATGCTCTTTCCACGTGGCCTGGAAGAGGCTCGTCACCTGTTGTGGAGACAGAGGGCCAAATCAGGACGGGTGTCTGCTGAGGACAACTTCTGCCAAGTGTGAGAGAGCAGAGCTGCAGGGCAGTGGTTCCAGCGGAAGCCACCTGTCCCACCTTCCTCACTACAATCCACACTGGGACCACGGCAGACGGGAGGGTGGCCCGCACACTCACGTTTTCCTCTGCAGACTTGGTTCGTCGTGGGCAGTCTCCCGGGAGAGAGGGCAGGGGCCCCAGAAAGTCTGATGTGCAATTTTACTTGATTGCTGCCTCTTCCTGGAAAACATTTACGAATAGTGCGTCTGCCTTTGATGATGAAAGAGCTGGAGTGGTCCTCGAGGGAAGCCCTGGATAGCGGGAGGGCCCCACAGGGTCTTCTCAGGGAATCCTCCAGCAGTGGGGGTGGGACTCGTGGTCACACGGCCCGGCCTGTGGCCTTGGAGCCCAATGGGACCAACTGTCCAGACCTGGGGCTCCACCTCCAGCATGGTCTCCTGGCAAGAGAGGGGAGCATGGGAAGGCAGGAGGCCCCATGGCCGTGTCTACACAGTCCCCACCATGGTGTCACTTGGCCCTGTACCTCCAGGCTGGTGGCCGAAAAGTAGAGGAGCCAGATGCCTCCCCTGCATGTCTGACTCGGACGTTTGTCCACACCCTGGCACTCTCCAGGGAACGCTGCCTGCCCAGCTCTGGATTCCAGTGACCTCACGTGTGCATGGAATCAGGAAGCCATTGCCTTGGGAGCCCTGGCTACATACTCTTAAGGGCTCATCCCATCCATACCCCGAACCACCCGGAGACAGCTTGGCTCTGTCCGGTTCCGTAAATTGCAGGGTGTTGTCCCCCAGCATCTTGGAGAAGGTTCACATTCAGGAAAGCCAAGAGGCCGCTCCCACCGTTAGTCACGCCAGGAATGAACATTTCTCCAGAACTCCTTCCAGGCCTCCATCACAGGGAAGATGTGATGCTCTCTTTGGACCTATATTTGCAAGGTTTCTCTCCTAAACGACAAGGAGGAAAGAAACAGAATTCACAAGGATTTTAAGTTGTTGTGCTTGTGGTATATTTAAATAACCGGTCCGTGCAGCTGGCGTGCAGGAAGTAAGTTTTTAGTCACAGGTTCCTGACTCTGACCACAGAGCTGTGTTTTGGCTTCATTTTGTTATTAACTATCCAGGGGCAGCCAGGGTCCAACACAGAAGAGCTCTTCACTCAGCTGAGAAGGAAAAAAAAAAAAAACATTTAATGGTGCTGCCATTTAAAAGCCATTTTAATGACAAAAAACCCCTCTACATTATCAGCAAAAGTATATAAGAATGTAATAAATTTCCTTTCTTCCTGAGGCTTTGTCATGAAAATTAGAGGGGTATCACAATCCACTCTCATTGCTAGCTTTATTCTTGCAAGATAAATAGAAAACATCCAAAAGCCAGCAAACAATGTAATGTTTGTTTTTCCCCAGTGGTATTTTACATAAAGTGGCTTTACAGGCCTGCCAGGCAATTTGAGGCGATTTTAATCTCCTCTAATTCCCTAGAGAAACAATCAGGCCAGCGTCCAGCCTGGGCCAACCCCGGAGCCCAGGTGGCCTCACAGTGAGGCTGGCCCTCCCACCATCTCTGCTCCACTGCCCCGGTGGTCTTTGTCTCTACTCGCCCCACCAACCCAACCTTGACTCCCCTTGCCATGAGCCCCGTGCTCTGGCACAGCTCCTGCTGGCCGGGTCCGTGGTCTGGGCATGTCAGGCCTGGGACTCACTGTGGCCCTGCATCTCCAGCCGTTGTCACAACAGAAGCCAGCCACCCTGGTGACTGACACATGCTCCGTGCCCTGTGCCTCCCCAGCCATTCTCTTTCACTGTTGTTGAGACACTGTTCACTGTCTCCTTCACCAGGTGGCTGTTGTTCTACTCAACAACCACCTGGTGTGGGTGGGGGTGGGGGTCGGGTTTGCTGGTGGTCCTTGCCACGTAATTTTTTCTTGCTCTGTTTTAGGTTGGATTCCTTCCTCCCAGAAAGCTCTGAGGCTTTGGATCCTCGATCTATCTTGGAAATTCCTAGGCACTCAGGAGTACCCTACGTGGGTGCTGCATGCAATGGGATACATAGAATTACACTAAATATATAGGATGATAAACACCTAATTAGGCTAACTAACTATGGAAACAGGAGTCATCCTCTATGTTTATTATTCAGTCAAGTTACATCATTTCCAACTTTTGGTGCTTTCACAGGTCCAAATCCTGGATTGGGAGAGTGCAAGGGGTGGTCTGGGCGTCCTGGGGATGGGGAAGCTGTGAGCGAGCCCAATCTATGTGCGGGGCCATGTCCCAGTGATAAGGAAATGCAATTGGAGTTCCTTCCTTTTGCCTATAAAGTGTCTACTCCACCTAGAGGGTGACCGAAACCCAAGTTCAGCTGCCCATCTATTGAAAGGCCAATATTCAACAGAGAACAACTGCTCAACCACCCCTGGGTACCAAGGAACCAGAACTTCTGGCACAACCTGGGAGCACTGAGATAACTCTGTAGCTGACCTCATCAGTCTACACGTGGTCAAGAAATGTCACAACCCACTGCACTCCCTTATCCAATTAAACCCCTTTACACATCCCTGCACCAGGCAGAAGACCAGGAGTTGGCCTTTGGACAAAAGTCTTCCTTCTCCCCAGGTGACCAGCCTCCGGAATAAAGCTCATATTCCTTTCCAATCAAAACTCGACTCTTCTTTCTGCAAAGGACAGTGAGGTCTACAGATGCGCAAAGTGAGGTCAGTAAAGTCATGTGTGTAACCTTAAAAAAGGAAAACTTTTTGCCAACAAATTGCTGGGCTGATCAGAAAGCCCAGGCAGCTTCAAACAGACTTCTGGCCTCTGTGGCCTGGGGACGTTCTGGTCCTTCATTTCCCCAAGGTCAGTGGCCTGCAAATCTCAAAGAAAGGAAATTAGTTTGGTGGCAGATCAAGGGCCTTAGGTCAGCAAGCAAGGAGTGTGTTACCTTGAACAAGTTAACCTGTAAGACCAGCTGGGCTGCTACAAATCCCCACTGTTGATTTCCTCATTCCATAACCATGGATTAGGGGCTGTCTTCTGTAGGTCTGTCTTCTATAGCTACTTCCTGCTGATCAAGGATGACAAAGGGATTTTGGAGTGGAAGACATTTATGGAGTGGGAGAATCTTGTTTCTGGCATTTGCACTGAGGGGGAAAGTAAGGGCAACTCCAAGCCATTACCAATAGCATGAGCTCTGCCTTGACAGATGTAAAAAGTCAAACAACAACCAAAGAGAAGGAGAACAAGAAATACAGCAATGCTTAATAGGGTATATTTCCATTTGGAAGGTATTGAATTTACCCAACTGCTAAAAAAACTTACAGCAAGGGCATCTATAGCTGTGATATGTTTGCCTAAATTTTTCATGACTTCAGTTACTTTTTTCATGACTTCAGTTGCATTTTTCAGGTAATTTGGAACATACACAGCACTCTGTTTTAATGAAAGCCCAGGTTCCTCTGCGACCTGCAGTCAAGACACCAAGGGCCATTCAGTTTCAAATTTGTGGGTGACTGAGTGTCAGATTTGGTTAAAGGTAGCCACTGTATGCTTGGCATAAAGCCTCTACTCACAGTTTTACATCAACAGAGGTGGATCCTAGGACAAATATGGCAAAGGGATAAAACCACCAAGAATCCCTCTTTGCCTGATGTGTAACCTTAACAATTTCCTAATTCTGAGGAATCTCTGGCAAGTGGGAGAAGACCTGTCTGGGGATATGTGCACCCCCAAGTACATCCTCTATGCAGTGATAAGGGAAGTGGGACCATCTACTATTTCTACAAGTCCATACTAAACCCATGGAGTGGGGAACACTCACTCCAGCTTTTAAGGAGCGATTTTGTCATCCTGGCCACATTGAATTGGTCAAGGTGAGAGTTGAGTTCAAATAATCATATGCCATGGAATCCTGTAATTATCCCCACAGAAGAAAAAGCATGAGGATTGTCTATATGTGTGCTATTGTGACAATTCCTCTGAAGTTTACCTCAAGTTGTCTAGCTTAGGCAAACAACAAACACTCAAAGATAATCAGAACTATAATTTAACATCCACAAAGATGTGTTATTGAAACATTATTTTTCCCTCTAAAATCACCCTCATTTTCAAAAAGGGCCAAATCAAGACTAATTCATTTGAAAAACAAGTCCAATTCTAACAAAGTTTGCCTAATTATTTAAATAAGCTCAGTAAGAATAGTGATAGATCATATAGATTTTTTCAAATTTGCTTTGCTGGAACTTTTCATGAGGAATCTCTAGATTGAACTTTTAATGGGCTCTCAAGGCCAGAGGCGAAGCCAAATACTTGCAATCAGACACACCTGAAATACCTGTAGATTCCTCTTCTTGAGGTCCCCCAAAGTATCCTGAGGTTTCCTGTGCCAGCCAGGAAGTGACATTCTTTACTCACCTGGTAGGGCTGCTGGGAACTCTGTAAGCAAGGTATCAGGCCAACATTTCCAAGGGGCTCTTTTGGCTTCATGCTTTATATAGTCAACTTAGTTCCTTAAAGCTCTCTGGTCATATCCAGCAGTATTCTGTCACAAAATCAGAATCTTATAGAACTTAGGAAATGACCATAATTGCCGTGAAAGAAAGAATATTAATTGAAAGCTTCTGAATTTTGAAGGGTTCTGGTAGGGAGAAAAGTTGAATGTTTCAGTTTGTTCACAAAATAATATTTTATCATATTTCTGTAAAATCATAGATATCTTAAGAGAAAGTTTTCTTAAATCTGGAAGAGCAAATATTAGAGAACCAGCAATGTTTCAAACAAGAGTCAAAACAACTATCATCACCTTCCTCAATTCACCTGGTCCCATGTTAGTAATTCTTGTTCTGTTTGAATGCAATTTTTCATTAACTCTGGAAATGTTTACTCAGCATAGTTTTATCATCTTAAAGATATCAGAAACCTGTATTTGTCAGAAGTTCTTTTCATGAATCTCCTTGAAGACAAAACACATTTTGCAAGACCATCAGAACACTGACTATAAGTGACAAAAGACTCAGAAATGGCCATGGTTAAAGAGAAAGCTCATTCTAATGCAGGTGACAAGGAAATCTGGTTGTTTCTGTGACACACAACATTTCAATAATTCAAGTAATGACCTTACACCAGGACATACTAACACTTTAGGAATTTCATGTAATTTCTGAAACAGTCATAGCATTTACCCATACAATACCACCCAACGATTATCACCATTGGTTTGACAATGCTTCCTGTGGAATTTAACATCCCAAATAAACAAGTTCAGTTAGGCAAAAAGATTTCATTTAGCATTTGAATCTTGGGAATTTTGTTTAAAAAGACCCCAGAAAGGAGGTGAGGATGCTCCGACTGCCTTTCTTTAAATCAATCAATCAATCCTCAGAAAGTTATAAAGCACAAGCCTAAATGGGATTACAGATCATTACAAAACTTAAAACTTAATTATTTATTAACCAAGGTGGCAGTAAGAGATTCCAAAGGCAAATACATAGCGTTATATGGTTGTCGGTAAAACTTATCTCCTGTAAGGGGCACCTTGGGTGGCTCAGTCCTTAAGCGTCTGCCTTCAGCTCAGCTCATGATCCTGAGGTCCTGGGTCCTGGGATCGAGCCCCGCATTGAGCCCCGCATCAAGCCCTGCATTGGGCTCCCTGCTCAGTGTGAAGCCTGCTTCTCCCTCTCCCTCTGCTTGTGTTCCCTCTCTTGCTGTGTTTCTCTCTGTCAAATAAATAAATAAAATCTTTAAAAAAAAAAACTTATCTCCTGTAATATTGAGATGTCTTAGCTCTCTTTAGTAATCAAAAACCCAATAAAGACAAAACATAGAAACTTTGGTTTTCTGGGCAAAGAAAAGAAAAAACCTTGTGTAAATTTCTTATCAAGTGCAAACCAACAGTCCAAGAAAACGTTGTCTTTTTAACAGAGAGAAAAGCAGAATTTCAATCTTACACCGGTGTACTTTTCAAATCCATTCACTTCAGGTGCGCCTGGGTGG